AAAAATGTTTGCCCGTGTGCAAAAAAAAAAAAGGTAATAATAATAGCCTCTTATCTTCTTCCATATCTCTGCTTTGGAGGTCTTTAAGATCTTCCTGTCATTTTAGTGAAAACCAGTCTTTAGGATATTTCATTTAAGAAAACTGATATAGATTTCTTTTCTTTTTTATTGTGGTGAAATTGGACATTACAGTAATACATGAGTACCAGGTACATTTTCCCTCCTCAGCACTGTATGTTTCACCATGCTCACCACCAAATAACCAGTCACCATCCACCACCAACCAGTCTACCCAGACTCTGCCATCTCCTTCTCCTCTGTTAACGACCATTCTGTTGTCAGAGTCTAAGAGTTTATTTTTTGGTTATTCTTTTGCATTTCCCCCCTTTTATATTCAGCAAATGAATGAAATCACATGGTATTTGTCTTTCTCCTTCTGACTTACTTCGTTTAGCATAATCTCCTCAATATCCCTCTGTGTTGTCACAAGTGGCAAGATTTCATCTTTTTTATGGCTGAGTCCGTTGTGTTTATATCTACATTGTGTTTGTAATCTACATTATTCTTTTTTTTTCTTTAATTTTTTTTTTTTAAGATTTATTTATTTGTTTATTTATACAAGCACTGGGTACAGTCAGAAGCACGGGAGGGTGAGAGGATTCACCAGAGCCAGAGCGGAGAGCAGAGCAGGCAGAAGGACCGAAGCACACTGCTGAGGGGAGCAGCGGGCGGCAGGAGAGGTCTGCGCGCCCTGCAGGACCCTCCTCCAGGGTCCGGGGAGCAGCCGGGGATCAAACCGGCGCTGCAGAGGCTGCGGGCAGCTTCGCAACCCAGCGCTCAACCACTGCGCCACCGGGGAGGCCCAATCTACATTATTCTTGAGGCTACTAGACTGTTTCAAATTTTTCTAAGTATTTGATACCTGGTATGATATTTGAGGCTGACTTGCATTTCTTATGTTTTCAAGAACTTTCTGCCCTCTTTGTTCTCTTAACTATTTGTTTTTTATAATAGACTTAATATGCATGTGACACAACATTCCAAAGCTACAAAAGGACATATAATGGCCTCCTGGTGGTGCAGGGGTTAAAGTCTCAGCACTATCAAGCTTTCACCTGCCACTGCGGCATGAGTTTGATCCCTGGCCAAGGAGCTACCCACATGGCGCAGCAGACCTCTACTGTCTTGGCCGCTGCTCCCCTCAGCAGTGTATTTCAGTAGATCTGCTCCCCACTCTGTTTCTGGTGAATCCACTCACTTCCCCACCCCAAACCTCTGGTCTAGACCCCAGTTCTTATATGCATAAATAAAAATAAATCTTAAAAAAAAATCAGTGAAGAGTATATATTCCTCTGTTCCCAGTCACCTAATTTCCCTCACAGAAGCAACTGGTGTTACTGATTATTGGTATTCATATCATATTCTGAATATTTACAAACACATGTGTTTGTGTCATATATATGTGTATGTATATGTATATATATGTGTATGTATATATCACACACACACACACACACACACGGGAGTATAAACTACATACTTGTTTGCACCTTTCTTTTTCCAGTGACCATGTGTCTTTGCAAATCAGTTTGTATAAAATGGTCTCATTTTTTAATGACTGTGTAGTATTCCACTGAATGGATAAACCGTCACTGATTTAACCAATCTCTCATTATGGGCATCTGGGTTTAAAATTTTTCTTTTTGAGGGGCCTCCCTGGTAGCACAAGTGGTTAAGTGTCAGCACTATGAAGCTATCCATAGCCACTGCAGCACGAGTTCAGTCCCCAGTCAGGGAGCTACCCACATGCAGCAGACCTCTCCTGTCTCTTCCACTGCTCCCCTCAGCAGTGTATTTCAGTCAGTCTGCCTATACGTTCCCCACTCTGTCTCTGGTGAATCTTCTCACCACTGCCCCCAGCCCTGCACCTCTGACCTGTATCCAGTTCTTGTATGCATAAATAAATAAAACTTTTTAAAAAATAAAATAATTTTTTTCTTTTTGAGATAAAATGTATGTTCCATGAAATTCACCCTTTAAGGTGTACAATTCAAATTTTTTTTTAAAAAAGTGTGCATTTCACTGGCTTAACTCCAAATCATTTTCATTACCCCAAAAGGAAACCCTGTACCCATGATATGTAGGCTTTTATAGTCTTTTGCTAAAACCAATAATGTTGCACTGGATTTTCTCACATATACTCCACACATGTGCAAGAATAAGAATACCTGCAGGACAAATACCTGGAAATAGTTCTGCTAGGTAAAATCATTTGTGCACTTAAATTTTTAAAAGCCATTGAGAATGGGCCTCCCTGGTGGTGCAAGGGGTTAAGCACAGCTTTGTGAAGCTGTCCGCAGCCTCTGCAGCACAAGTTCGATCCCCAGTCAGCCAGGGAGCAGCCCTCATGTTGCAGCAGACCTCTCCTGACTCGCCCGCTGCTCCCCTCAGCAGTGTATTTCAGTCAGTCTGCCTGTTCTGCTCCCCACTCTGTCTCTGGTGAATCCTCTTACCCACCGCAGCTCTGGCCTACATCCCAGATCTTGTATGCATAAATAAATAATTCTTTTTTTTTTAATAGAGGCATGTTTATTTATTTGTTTGTTTTGTTTATACACGCACTGGGTATAGTCAGAAGTGCGGGAGGGTGAGAGAATTCACCAGAGCCAGAGCGGGGAGCAGAGCAGGCAGAAGGACCAAAGTACACTGCTGAGGGGAGCAGCGGGCGGCAGGAGAGGTCTGCGCGCCATGTGGGACCCTCCTCCAGTGGTCGGGGAGCAGCCGGGGATCAAACCGGCACCGCAGAGGCCGCGGGCAGCTTCGCAACCCAGCGCTCAACCGCTGCGCCACTGGGGAGGCCCAATAAATAATTCTTTTAAAAAAATAAATAAAAGCTATTGAGAACCCCTCTAGAGGTTGTGTGAACTTACACTGTGACTATCAAGATATGAAAGTTCCTATTTCCCCAAAGGCTCAGGAAAAAGACAAAACTTGCAAGCTGACCACAGGTCTGAGGCATACAGCAAGGGAGGGCGGGAAGAGGTAAAAACGGGCAGGAAGAGCACAAGGGACTGTGGTGATAGCTCACAGTGCTATGGTGGTAGGAGAACTATGGGGAGAATGTGGGGGTCGGGGGGTAGGGGATGAGAACTTTACTAGGCTAACACATGTGAGAAACTTTTTATAATCTTGGACTAGGGGAGAATACACAGAAGTTATAAAAGTGACAAATTTGATGACAAAAATTTTAAAATCTACATGATAAGAGAGGAGAAATCAAATACTGTACAAAAAAAACTACATGATAGGAGGAATCATATACTGCACAAAAATGAACCATGATGTAATAAATAAATTAAAATAAATTCTTTAAAATAAATTCCTTAAAAGTGCTGTTAAAAAAGTTCCTGTTTCTTCACTCCTTCACATAGTTCTTGACTTTATCTTTACCGCCTGACAGGAAATAGTAGGAAATAGTGTCTAATAATTTTAGTTTATATTTCTCTTATTGAGGTTGATTATTTTTATAGGCTTAGGGACTTGTCTTTCCTTTTTTTATTTTTTGATTTTCTGCAGGGTAACTGGATTTTAATTTATAGGAGCACTTTATGTATTGTGGAGAAAATTCCTTTGTGATATGAGTATAAAATATTTTTCCTACTCTTTTGGGTTTTTTAGTTTTTGACTTTTTTTTTAGCATATATATTTTTTAAATTTTGTCATCAAAATTATCAATCTTTCATGACTTCTGTGTATTCGCCCCTACTCCAAGATTATAAAAAGTCTCTCCCATGTGAGTCTAGTACTTTAAGGTTCTCCTCCCCTACCCCCTATTTAACTCTTAGAACCATCTGAAATTTATTTTTGTGCAAGATATGAGTTATGGATCCAGCTTCTTTTCTCCATATGGCTAACATCTTCCCCCACTGATTGGAATGTCACTTTTACACTCGGTCTTACTACTCAAGGTGTTTGTTAACTAAGTTAAGAAAAAAAATTAACTACCAGCTTTAAGGTTTTTTTTTAAAGATTTATTTATTTATGCATACAAGAGCTGGGGCACAGGCCAGAGATGCGGCGGGGCTGGGGGTTGTGAGAGGACTCACCAGAGACAGAGTGAGGAACAGAACAGACAAACTGAAATACACTGCTGAGGGGAGCAGCGGGCGTGACAGGAGAGATCTGCTGTGCCATGTGGGTTGCTCCCTGGCTGGGCTGGGGATTGAACTCATGCTGCAGAGGCTTCAGATTGCTTCACAGTGCGGTGCTTAACCCCTTGTGCCACCAGGGAGGCCCAAGCTTTAAGTTTTTAAGAGTGGCAAGTCAGGTGTCTAGAACGGTAATTTCTGACTTTTTGGTATACCTATCAGCAGTCTGTCAGAGCGATAGCTCCTTTCCCTCCATGACAAATCCCAATGTTGTAAGCTGCCATTCCTGGGGGAATGTGCTTGGTCAAGTGTGTTAGGCCAAAAAATGGCTTTTAACCACTGCTCTAGGGATTTCCATTTAAAGGGAGACTGATCTTCATGCAGCCTTATTAAATTCATCTCTTACCAGAGATCCACCTAGTGATACTAGGTTATTTAGTGGGAAAAGAGATTCAACAGGAGTCCAGAAGTACAAGGAAAACCTTCCCAAAGATCTTCCCTTTTGTGATCCTTAGGTTGTCTTCTCACTTGAGAATCATAGTGAGTTTCTATAATAACTACTTCAATAAATTTACTTTGGTAAGGAGAATGAAACTACTATATTTTTAAATTTGTAGCTGGATAAAGTCAGAAAAGAATGTGATCCTTTATAAAGTAGAATTCTCAGGGTATCCCTGACTATAAAGGCTCATAGAGTTCTACCCAGGGGATTAGAGGAGGAGGGGAGGAGTCCTCTGCTAGGCCCAAGGCCTCTGACTAGGGCAGCTAAATCCAAGGAGTGTAAAGTGTTTGAGCCGCTGGTTTGGTTTGGCTTGGCTGGACTTGGCTTGGTTTGGTTGGGTTGGGTTTGGGAAAGGGAGAGGAGTGGAGGGGAGGGGGGGGAAAATACACAGTGCCTTTGAGTGTCATCCATATTGTAAAATATTCTTTCGTGGGGTCACTCGAAGAGTAGCTTGTGACTTTGAGCTCTGGGGTAACAAATATTCTCTGTGCTTGACAATCCCACTGACAGTGATGTTCAGAGCAGTGACTGGGCCGTCTTCCTTCCTTAGCCCTGGGGCAGCTGGTCTCCTGGAGGAGCCAGGTACTGATGGAAAGTAGAGAGGGGGGCTGGGAGCCTTGTGGAAGTCTTTCTTCGGTGTCAGTTATTTTTCACGCACATTTTTATTACTTTGTTCCAGAAACTGTTAGACACTTTAAAAAATGCATTTACAAAGAATACAGTGAAACTCCGCTTAAAAAGTCATGTTGAAAGAAATAACTTATAGGCTTAATTATTCATTGTCTAATTGGCTAATTTATTCCATGTGACTACAATGTCTGAGACCAGCCTGTGGCACAATAATGAGCTATGACTAATGCAAGTTTATATTAAATATCAGGTCTTAAGGGAAAACCTTCGCACAGATTTCTGCGTATCTTTTTGATGATAGTTTTCCTGTTCTGTCCCATTGTCACTCGTTAGTCATATTACGTTACTTCAGGCTTGCTAGCAGGCCCTTGAGTAACCCCACGTCTGGGTTCCTAGCAGCAGATTTTACTCAGCCAATTGCCTCTTTTGCTGCTTTAGACAGGGATGTTACTTTTTTGATAAGCTTTTCCTGCTCTTTCTTCCTCTTGTCTCACCCATCACCTCTTCTGTCCACCAAAGTTCCATTCAAATGGATTGTAACCACCCAGATCATTCAGCAGCCAAACCAAGTCATCCACCAACGGGAAGTTCCCACATGGGGGGTACTTACCCCTTCCAGACCCTTTGTGAGGAAAGCAAGATTTCCTCCATGTGACAGGAATCAATTTTCTACTTGTTAGGCCTTGTGATGGGTAAGATGGGAAGTTTGGGGGAACTGGAGAGGAGATGGCAGCTTTAACTGAGAAAAAACACTCAGTAGAAACTATCCCTTCTGCCTTCTTCGGGCGTGTCCTCCTTCTGGGCATCTCTTCAGGATTTCATTCCTCCGTCCAACTGCCGTTCACAACTGCCCTTTCCAACTGCTCCAGAACTCTTGGCCCTGGCATTCCATGATGTAAATTATTCCACGCATGGCTCGAAATGGGTGCGAAGCAGTGTTGCCAGGTGTCGGATCACTAGTGTAAGTTTACCGGATCTCGGGGGAGGGAGGAGGAAGGGGGAGAGCTGCTCTTGGAATTTGTACAGCTGTTGTTTGAGCCCGAGCACGCGCGCTGCACTGGCTAGGCTTGATGCTGTTCATGGCTGGGCAGAGGGGGGGCTCTGGGCTCAGTTCTGGGGTGAACTTTGGCTTGAAATTTTCTGCTTTGAAGATTCTAGTGTTGGGATATAGATTGTTTGAAGCTGAACACTTGGCAGTGCTGCTGCCGAGGGAGGAACCTGGGACCTGTAGGGCAGAGCCTGTAGCTGTACTTCCTGGGACTATGGCAGTCCTTCTGCTTCAAAAAGTAGGCAGAACCATCTTTTCTGTTTTCCTAAAGATAACCAAAAGGTGGCAGGAAATCCAGATTGCTCACCATGTTTGGAAACATCCTATCACAAATTTGAAAGACTGTTGTACCCAAGGGATTTTTTTTTTTCCTAAAACAAAAATATTATTTCTCCTCTTATTCATTCTGCATTTTGAGGAAGTTACTATTCACAGTGTTACAGTCCCTTTGGAGAAACTACACATGAGGGGTCGCTGCCAACTATCTCTCATTTGTCTAGATTTCTTTTTTGACTTGTAAGTTAAGGATTTATATTCAATAGAAATCATTTCAGTTGAATGCTTGATCACTTGAATGACTGCAAAAATTTTAAATCACTTTAGTATCATGCCATAATAGACCATTTGCTGGAAAACGTGCATAGATTTCACAGTTCTTTAGCTACAAAAGTATAAGGTATATTTTTATGTTATATTGACGCCACTAGCTTTATTCTGTTTGGCTGAAACAGTGCTTTCTTATTGCTTTTCTTTACAGTTGTCATGGATGATGATGATGACTCGTGTCTCCTTGATCTTATTGGGTAAGCTGCTCATTCCCAAATCAGAATAAATCAAATGTGTGAGGTTGGCTGTGATAAATCAGCCTAATTAAAACTGGGTGGGTTTTTAATTTTTATTTATTTAAGATTTATTTATTTATACAAGAACCGGGGTACAGGCCAGATGTGAGGGAGGGTGAGAGGATTCACCAGAGGCAGAGTGGGGAACAGAACAGGCAGACTGACTGAAATACACTGCTGAGGGGAGCAGCAGGCTAGACAGGAGAGGTCTGCTGTGCCATGTGGGTATCTCCGCAGCTGGTGGGGATTGAACAGGCACTGCAGAGGCTACGGACAGCCTCACAGCGCTGCGCTCAACCGCCTGCACCACCAGGGAGACCCTGGGTGGGTTTTTAAAATAAGAAAAAATCACCACAGACATGTAGGGAGACAAATGGAGAGACATGGATTAACATAGGGATCATAATTCGGTAAACCTTTTTTAAATTTATCTTCTAAAAATTCCAGGAGAGGGGGCCTCCCTGGTGGCAGAGAGGTTAAAATCTCAGCACTATTAAGCTGTCGAGCTATGGCTAGCCACTGCCGCAGGAGTTTGAGCTATGGCATGAGTTCGATCCCTGGCCAGGGCGCTAACCCACATGGTACAGCAGACCTCTCCTGTCTCACCCGCTGCTTCCCTCAGTAGTGTATTTCAGTAGATCTGCCTGTTCTACCCCCAACTCTGTCTCTGGTGAATCCTCTCACCCCCCACACCTCTGGCTTAGACCCCAGTCCTTGTATGCATAAATAAATAAACCTTTGAACAAATAAAAATAAATCTTTTTTAAAAATTAAAAAATAAATAAAAAGTAAAAAATAATAATAAAAAATGAAATTCCCAGGGGACAGAAATGAGTGGTAACAAGGAAATAGAACAACACAAAAATACTTAATTAAAATAAAAGATTACTAATAAAATTATCTTAAAATAGAGAATTTCACTCATACTGGTATGTCATTTTTTTTTTACCCTAGTAAAAATGAATCCTAAATACAGGTAATATACTTATTTGTTGTTTTCCCCTTTCTGTTGTTTTCTAGAGACCCACAAGCACTGAACTATTTTCTACATGGACCTAGTAATAAATCTGTAAGTAACACTTAGAGCATCACAGACATAATTCTTTTCCTTCTTAACAGTCAAAGAAATCAATTTATTGCATTTGTCCCTTTGCAGAGCAACGATGACTTGACTAATGCAGGATATTCTGCAGCCAATTCAAATTCAATTTTCGCCAACTCTAGTGTGAGTATCAGAAACTGATTTCAAAGATCAAGTGTTTCTGTCTCGTTGATGCTTTGTGAATTGAGACTTAATTGTCTTTACATCATGAGAACCTTTACCTTATATTTTGTAATTGACACATAGGGTATCAATTGAATTATGTTGATATTTTCTATTTTTAACTTAGTCAATTAAAACAAACGATATGAGATATACTTTACCATTTCCCTAAGCTTTCAATTTTCTTTCTAAAATGACTCAGAAATATTATAACCTGGGAAATTCCTATTAGACTATTTTGAAGCTTGTTACATAAGCTTTAAATAATTTATTCTTATTTGTATATAGTCACTTTCTAGCCAGTTTCATCTGAACAAGCAAAAGGGTAAGAATTATTGAAACTTAGTGAACATTTAGTATGTTCTTGGTACTAAGGGTTTAACATCTTTTATTCTCACTCATTAATCTTCACAATAATTTCATGAAGTAGATTCTATTATTGTCAATATTATATAGATGAGGAAGTGACAGCCCAGAGAGGTTAGTATTTGCAGAGCTAGCATTCTAACCCCAGCCATCAGGTTCTCCTACCCATATTCTTAAGCTGGAGGAGCATCTAGATGAAATAAATGACTTGGGGGACAGGGGAGTCCTGCCTATCCAGTTACTATGATTTAGCCTCTGTTACTTTAGTCTTTTCAGCTGCCTTGTTCTACCACAGGTAGTCTAGAGTCAGGTTGCCAAAGTGTTGAATCCTCACCCTGCCACTTACTAACTTCACAACTTGGGATATATCACTAAATCTCTGTAAGGTTCAATTTCCTTACTAATAAAACCAGGATAATAATAGAGCTACCTATAGGGTGGCTAAAATTAATTGACTGTCCATGGAAAATCACTTGGTACAATGCTCAGTAAGTGTAACTTATTATCATCATCAGAGCCTTTATTTTCATCTGTAAAATGAAATCATATCTAAAAAGGCCTTGAGGAGGCAGAACTATTTCAGTTGTCTGGATGTGTGTAAGATATGTCAAATAATATCATGTAAGACTCCTCTACATAGTAGAGGTAGCTTTAAAATCACGATATTAATTTGGCGTAAGTCCTTATAAATCAGGGGTATTTTTGAAGTGCATTCAGAATGAGTAATAGCTTCATGTGATGTCATTAAACCCATAAAGTAGACATTTCCACCTATCCTTCCATATTAGTGACTTCTATTTACCAACTCTCCCCCTTCCACAGGAGTGTTAATTCTGTCTTTTTAGAATGCTTCATTCAATATGTATTTATTGGAATCTTGTATTGCATTATGTCAAGTATAGCAGAAATATTTTAAAATATTTTGAAAATTTTTAAATATAAAATTTAAATTTAAAAATTTTTTAAACTGAAAAATATGAGTGGTTAACCCTATGGTCTATTAATTTTTGTTTGTAAAAACATTAAACACTATCATCACTCAGGAGATATCCATTTTGTCTTTATATTTCTCTGCAAAAAAAAATCTTTACTTCCTTTCAAATGATTCTTCAAGTCTTAAGATAGTATCCACTTGACTGAGACATTAGTCCTATTTCAGCTATTGATTGGGTGTCAGTGAACTAGTCTAGACTTTTCTGTCTACTTCTTCCCATCATTAGCCCCTGATACCTTATTAATCTAGGCTGAGAGTCACTACAGTTTTTAATGTTTTATTTATCTTTTAAAAAACTTTTTAACTGTATTAAAATACATACAACATGAAATCTTCCACTCTGACCATTTTAAGCGTACTGCTATTGAGTAGTATTAAGTTCACATTGTCTTCACTTTATTTTAAATAACTGTTGATTCCTTATCTTTTCTTTTATAACTTTGATGTCCCATGAAAAACTGCTGAGCAGTGGGATATATCTTACCAATGCCTGTGTTCCTCTCTGTTGATATGTCTCTAGTTGGAATGCCTATTGCTTAAAGATTCCTTACGCATAGACACTAGCACCTTAAGAATGTTTGATAAATATTGACCAGTCTTCGAACAGGACACTGAAGTGGCTTTTAAAGCATCTAATAAGCTGATAACTTCTAAGAAATCAAATGAGCATTCACATCTTATGTGAGAAGCTTGCTTTTATCTGGACTGGTTTTGCCTTGGGGAGTAGAGGTTAAACTAGGGGTGTTTTGAAAAACCTTGAAAGACCAGACTGAATCTGGGTTCACGCTGACCCTCTAGGAGAGCAATAGTCAGAACTACCAAAGCTTACATAGACTCCAGGGGTACAAACTAGATGTGACCATACCCTGGATACATATGTGCAGTGGACTGAGTCCCACTCAAGTCTTGAACTGGAAGCAACCCTAAAAAATAAAGTCCGTATTAGTATCTTAAAAAATGAAGCTAAACTTTGGATCATCATCATTGTATTTATGTCACTGATCTGTTTCCTATAAAATAATTTACAAAGCAATGAATGCAAATGCTTACGAAAGTATTACTAAACATCATCCCTAAGGAAATTAAGTATCAGAATAAGGTCAATAGTGGGCCGAGTTGAGTCTGAGAAGCAGACTATTATGCTTTATTCATACTCAAAAGTGAGATTAGCTTTTCTTTTTTTTTTTTAAGACTCTCTTCCGTAGGTTTACTCTGGTGTGTAACATACTGCTTATTTTTTTAGAATGCTGATCCTAAGTCATCCCTCAAAGTGGTAAGCAACCAACTTGGAGAAGGGCCAAGTGATGGACTGCCACTTTCAAGTAGCCTTCAGTTTCTTGAAGATGAACTTGAGTCTTCTCCTCTCCCTGATCTCAGTGAGGACCAACCTTTTGACATTCTTCAGAAATCCTTGCAGGAGGCCAATATCACTGAACAGACTTTGGCAGAAGAGGCATATTTGGATGCCAGTATAGGTTCAAGCCAACAGTTTGCACAAGCTCAGCTTCATCCTTCTTCATCAGCATCCTTTACTCAGGCTTCTAATGTTTCTAATTACTCAGGTCAGACGCTTCAACCTATAGGGGTGACTCACGTGCCTGTTGGAACATCGTTTGCGAGCAATACAGTGGGTGTACAACATGGCTTCATGCAACATGTGGGGATCAGTGTTCCCAGCCAGCATTTGTCTAACAGCAGTCAGATTAGTGGTTCTAGTCAAATACAACTAATCGGATCATTTGGTAATCAACCGTCCATGATGACTATTAATAACCTCGATGGATCTCAAATAATATTAAAGGGCAGCGGGCAGCAAACCCCATCAAATGTGAGTGGGGGACTTCTGGTTCATAGACAGACTCCTAATGGCAACTCGTTGTTTGGGAACTCCAGCTCCAGCCCAGTAGCACAGCCTGTTACCGTTCCATTTAACAGCACAAATTTTCAAACATCTTTACCTGTGCATAACATCATCATACAAAGGGGTCTTGCACCAAATTCAAATAAAGTCCCGATTAACATCCAGCCAAAGCCTATCCAGATGGGTCAGCAGAATACATATAATGTGAACAATCTGGGAATACAGCAGCACCATGTTCAACAAGGGATCTCTTTTGCCTCTGCAAGCTCACCCCAGGGCTCGGTAGTTGGTCCACACATGTCTGTGAACATTGTCAACCAACAGAACACAAGAAAGCCAGTCACCTCACAGGCGGTGAGCAATGCTGGGGGTAGTATCGTAATTCATTCTCCCATGGGCCAGCCCCACACACCCCAAAGTCAATTCCTCATACCTACAAGCCTTTCGGTCAGTTCTAACTCGGTACACCACGTCCAGACCATAAATGGGCAACTTCTTCAGACTCAACCCTCTCAGCTCATTTCTGGCCAGGTGGCCTCAGAGCATGTCATGTTGAACAGAAACTCTTCCAGCATGCTCAGGACCAACCAACCATATTCTGGACAGATGCTTAACAACCAGAATACTGCCGTCCAGTTAGTGTCTGGGCAGACATTCACTGCCTCTGGAAGCCCAGTGATAGTCAATCATGCCTCTCCTCAGATTGTTAGTGGACAGATGCCCATGCAGCAGGCATCACCAACTGTATTACACCTGTCACCTGGGCAGAGTGGTGTCTCCCAAGGAAGACCTGGCTTCACCTCCATGCCCCCGGTGACAAACATGTCAGGACCTAGTCGGTTCCCTGTTGTCAGCTCATCCAGCACTGCCCATCCTAGCCTTGGGTCTGCGGTTCAGTCTGGTGCATCAGGATCAAACTTTACGGGAGATCAGCTGACCCAGCCAAACAGGACTCCAGTACCAGTCAGTGTGTCTCATCGTCTTCCAGTTTCTTCTTCCAAATCTACCAGCACCTTCAGTAACACCCCCGGAGCAGGAACCCAGCAACAATTCTTCTGTCAGGTAATATTCCCTTTATCAAATGAAAGCTTAGATAATTACAAATGGAAAAGTGGAATGTGGATTTAGTAGGAAATAGTTTAAATCCAAGGCTCCAAATGTATTAACTTTAAGATTCCCTGCTTATAATTGATTATCCTTTTTCTTCTTGATTAAGATTTTTTTTCTCCAGCCTAGTACTGTATTAAGAAGAGACTCCAGAGTCAAACTCATGGATTTGTATCAAAGCATTGTGACATGGAGCAAATTAGACTTCTCTCTCTAGACTTAATTTCCTGCCTTGGTGAAATGGAGATAATGATACTACTGCCCCATGACTAAGTGAGAGCACTAAATAAGATAACCTATATAAAGCACTTAGTATTTTCCCTGACAGATGGCTCTTCCCTCAGTAAGAGCCAATATTAGTCCATATTAATGGATATATTACTTTTCTTTTTAAAAGATTTATTTATTTATGCATAAAAGAGCTGGGGTAGAGGCCAGAGATGCAGGGGGGTGCGGTGAGAGGCTTCACCAGAGACAGAGTGGGGAACAGAGCAGGCAGACTGATGAAATACACTGCTGAGGGGAGCAGCGGGCGAGTCAGGAGAGGTCTGCTGTGCCATGTGGGTTGCTCCCAGGCCAGCTGGGGATCGAACTTGTGCTGCAGAGGCTGTAGATTGCTTCATAGTGTGGTGCTTAACCCCTTGCACCACCAGGGAGGCCCATATTAATGTCTATATTACTTAATGAAATGTATTATGGGCATTTAAAATGAAAACTTATTTTAGATCATTTCCGTAGCTCATATAGCAAGCCCCTAGCTCACCACACTGTTGGCTGGGTAGCGAAGTCATGAAAACTTTTATGTGCCAACCAGAAAGACTCAGGGACTGGATGTGATGTGACTCAAAGTTGGTGAAGGGCCTGCTCCAGGGGAATGTCAGTAGACGGAAGGGTCTGGGGCACTGCCATCTGACCACGTGCCTGAGTCTGCTCTTACCTTGCTGTTGTGCCAGGAAATTTCTTTGGGTAATTGGCAAAACCTCATAAGGACTCTGTATCCAAAAAGTGGCTCATACAGTCATCAGCTTTGTTCCCTCATCTTTAGATCCTTGGACTCCTCTAGCTTTTGGTTCCCATTCATCCTGAGCATACTCCATAGTTCCATTTCCTCCAGGCCCTCTTTTTCCCATCTAGGAGGAGCTGTTCCATACCCTACTTACAGTACTTTGGTCTACCATCCTTAATCCTTCATTTCCACTGCTTTTCTCCTACACCTTGGAAGTATTCAAAAGCTTCTATGTGTCTTTTTAAAATTTATTTATGCATACAAGAACAGGGGTGTAGGCCAGAGGTGTGGGGTGGGGTGGTGGTGAGAGGATTCACAAGAGACAGAGTGAGGACCAGAACAGGCAGATCCACTGAAAAACACTGCTGAGGGGAGCAGTGAGCAAGTCAGGAGAGGTCTACTGCACCATGTGGGTAGCTCCCTGGCAGGGATTGAACCCATGCCTCAGTGGCTGTCAATAGCTTGATAGTGCTGAGAGTTAACCCCTTCTCTGTGTCTAATATTAATATTTCAAAAACTGTTTACCTTTGACCTGCTAATTCCCATAAGAATTCTAAGGAAGAGGCCTCCCCATGGCGAAAGGGGTTAAGATGCACCTATAAAGCTATCCACAGCCACTGCAGCATGAGTTCAATCCCCAGCCAGAGAGCTACCCACATGGTGTGGCAGACCTCTCCTGCCTCGCCCACTGCTCCCCTCAGCAGTGTATTTCAGTCAGTCTGCCTGTTCTGCTCCCCACTTTGTCTCTGGTGAATCCTCTTATGCCCCCACACTTCTGGACTGTACCCCTGTTCTTGTATGCATAAATAAATCTTTTTTAAAAAGAGTTCTAAGGAGGCAAAGATTATTTATGATCAAATCGTTTAGTGTATTACTTTTGGTATCAAAGGTATGTGTGTATGTGTCCATGTACTTTGAAATACCAGATTCATAAAAAAGTTAAAGTTGTAGGACTGATGTAAAGAATTCTTATAGTCTCCAAAGGTTAATGTTTTGCCACATTTGTCTTATCCTTCTCCTCATTCCCACAATAGACACACAACACACACACACATTTTTTTGAGAGTGAATTGCAAGCATGATGCCTCTTCCCCCCTAAATATTTTAGACTCTTCAAAGCGAATATCCCCCCTATAACCTTAGTACAGTTATCAGAGTCAAGAAATCATCATATTATAATACTAGCATCTAATTTACAGACTCTTCATATTTAGTCAATTTTCCCAATAATCTCTCTTAGAACAAAAAAAGGGAAAAAATTGTTTTGTGTTTATGGCCCAGGATTCAATCACTGTCTCATTTTACTGTCATATTGTTACATATGGAACAACTTCCCTATCTTTGTCTTTTGTGACCTTGATATTTTTTTAAGAAAATAGATTGATTATTTTATAGATTCCTTCCATTTGGATTTCTCTGATGTTTCCTCATGATTAGGTTCAGGGCAGGTTTGCCACAGAAATGTGTCCTTGGTGCTCACAAGGTAGATTTCTCCCATTACTTGCAATGTTAACTGAACAATTGGTTAGGACGGTCACTGATGCATTGTTAAATAAGTTTCTTCTAGGACGTACACTGAGGCTGTGTAGTTTCTCAGTAAATGTGTGTATCAATAGTTTCAGCTTCTAGGGATAGTTTTTCCACTGAATCATTTATTACTAAATCAGCTGTCACTGTGACAGTCACCAAGTAGAGATTTTCTCATTCTATCATTGGTTCTACATTTATTGTTGGGATTTAACTCTAAGGAAGAGCTTTTCCTTCTCCCCTTTACTTACATGTTTGTTTATATCAGTCTGGATTCATAAATTCTTACCTAGTTCAGCGAGTTATGAATTCTTACCATTATTTATTTTGATGTCCAAATTAATATGACAGCCAGTAGGTGTCCCTCCAAATGGTCTCCTGGTCCATCTGACATGTTTCCATTATGCTTTGAGGAACTCTGATTTCTGGAAAAATAAGATACTCCTTGTTCATATTTTACTTTCCCTGCCCCTACCCTGGAATCAACCATTTCTTTAAGGAGCCGACTTCTTCCAGTGACGAGCAGTAATTGGGAAGCAAAATCCAAGCACTACATATTCATTCTTAGTAGGGTGGTCTCAGCTGGGACATACATAATTATATCCAATATCTATAACTATTAACCTATCTACCAATCTATATTATATAGTTCATATTACTCCTTACAGGACCAATGGGTTCATTACTCAAGACCCACTCTTTCCCATGTTTGTAACTCCCTGTTCTATCAGTGAGAAAGGCAACTCTGCAATATGTTTACTTATTTGCTCAGTCCTAGAATATACAGAAAATAACTTGAGAATTATTACTAACCCATCCCTCTTGAAAAACCTACTAATTGGACTTCAGAAAATCCACTAATTAGACTAATACGACTGAATACCTAAAGGTATATGATGCCATCTAAATTGTTTTCAAAAAGTAATTAAACATTTGGGGAAAGGCTTGCAAAATGATTTTAAGTGTACTTTTAAGTGTGAACTATTTAAAATGTGCGTTTAAATATAAAATATTTAATAAACATTTTTAATTTTAGACAAATTAAAAGGAGAGATAATACGGCAAATTAAAAACAGAAAATGCTTCTGTTTACACAACAGCTGGAACTTGATTAGAAGGAGATGCTGCTATTCCATTAGCAGCAGTTCTCTGAATGTAGAATTACATGTTATTCTTACTTTGTTCTGTTTTTTTTTTTTTTATTTTTAAGATTTATTTATTTGTACATACAAGAACTGGAGTACAGGCCAGAGGTGCAGGGGGTCAGAGAATTCACCAGAGACAGAGTGGGGAGCAGAACAGGCAGACTGACTGAAATACACTGCTGAGGGGAGCAGTGGGCAAGACAGGAGAGGTCTGCTGCACCATGTGGGTAGCTCCCTGGTCCTTCAGGGATCGAACTTGTGCTGCAGTGGCTGCAGATAGCTTCACAGTGCTGTGCTTAACCCTTTGCGCCAGCAGAGAAGCTCTTCTTCTGGTTTTAAAAACTTACCCCTTGTAAAGGAGGTGAGATATCAGGCCACATTTATCAAACTGTATTTATGCTTTTTTAAAAAATAATTTTAAATAATTGGTTAAAATTTTTTAAAGTTCCAAAATAGATTGAAAATTACACTTAACATTAGACTTAAAATTAGACAGTTCCCAAGTTTCCCTCCCAGAGGCCTCCACTGTTTCTAAGCTCTTTATATTCTCCCAGAGTTACAACCTGCATATAGGAGCACAGATATCACACACATGTACACACACACATCATCTCCCTTCAACACACACTAGTCGTTTTTACTTAATTATATAACATGAGGATCACTAGTTTCAGTATGTATTGACATGCTTTATGTTTGTTATTATAATTACTTTTACATAATCAGTCGTAGCACAGTTGTTTCCCCTTTAGGGAGAGCTATAAATGAATAATGCTTCAATGGAGGGAAAAAAGCTCTCTCTAATTCCCAAAAGTTTCAATTATCCAAAGGTGGCAAGAAGTCTTAGCAGGAAGCGCCACAGTAATTTTTTGTGACTTTTAATGCAAAAAAAAGTATTGGAAACTAGGTCAGTTGCATTATATTTGGTGCATTCCTGCTATAGATTTTCTGGAACAATGAAAGCATAAGGAGGACACAGGCTCGGATGCAGCTTGATTTGAAAAAGTAGGGTTGAGATGTCATCTAACATTTAAACCCCCAAGACATCCAGAAGCATTTATAGTGACTTTTACTTTATAATTTCTGTGTAAAATTTCTGTATAAGTTACTTTAATAATGTTGTAATGAACAAAGTTACCATTCTCAGGAGGCTTGGGTGTTTGTCTGTTTGAAAAAGTTGAATTCACCAAGTTTTGATACTATGAATGATTAAAATAAGTTTTTCCATCTAAATTTTTTTATTGTTAGTGTAGATGATATGTTTATTTCATTCAAAA